GCAGTTGTTTTGGTCCACACCCAAATCTGATTAGCATGTTCATATCTGTCCAAATAAATCACATCAAGGGTAAAAACAAACAGGAGTTTGATTTAAATGGAATCAACAGCGCGGGTAGTGCATCTCAGCACAGTGAAACTGGTTGTGATAGAAGAGAAAGAGACAGTTTTAGCCGGAAATAATACTTCGGAAGATCATTTAGAAAAATACTTGAATAAATATTCAAAATCATCAAAAATATAAATATATATTTGAGAGTTATTTGGGTTTTGTTTAATCTGCACAAACGTTTCTTTGCTAATCTCTAATTGCAGTATTATTTTTTGTTCCAGAGCATTTTTGTAAGGTTGCCGAGCAACCAGCCAAGCACCTCCCTAAAAGGTCAAAGTGTTCACTGAAACAGCAGCACTGTCCACCCATGGTTAAGCGGAGCAATTTGTGCCGTATATTAAATGACAAGAAATGCAAGAAACTCTGCAAAAAAAAAATATGGTCAGCGATCATATCTGAGACTGAGGACACTGTGATTTAATGATATTAACACCCTTTCAGTCCACAGGGACACTTGTGCAAACAGTGCTGTCCTCACAGGCTGAATATAACAGAAGATAATACTTAATAATAAATTAAAGATGATAACTTAACCTTTACTTTACTCCCTAAAGAAAAAATGATAAAAAAAAAAAATAGACCACAAACGACACCACACACACACACTCTGAATTCCCCCCTTCGGCAACTCAGGAATGGCCTGATTAGTTCCCATGACAACAAATCCCAACATGAAAGGGCGATCGGAAAAATGAATCAGTAGCAGTCGCTGTTAAGGTCGCCAGAATCGGAAAGGTGAAGATAACGAGTGAACCAGAGGTTACCAATGTGAAACAAGCTGCCCGCTCTTCACTGCTTCATTCTGTAGAGTTTCTGTAAGGGACAGTAAGGATTAAGTTTATCTGTGGCAGCGTAACCTGCTTATTGTCCATTCCTGGAAACAGACGCAAATTCCTTTACGCAGGACGGGACATTAAAAAATAAAAAAAAATAGAAAAACTTGGAGTGTTTACGCAAGGCTGATCCAAACACTGTAACAGTGATGCAACGTGCCGCAGCCAGCGAGGCTAACAAGAGGCTCTTGACTGAAAAGAAAAATGCCTTTTATATATAAAATATACATAAGAAATCAAGCAAGAGTCTGAAAGTAAATGTTACTCTGGACTCAGGAAACAGATACACAAGAAAATCCGATCACCTGTCGACACCATGTCACCTGTTTAGGTTGAACAGATTCGGACGAAATCTGGGACCTGGCAATTTAAACAATCGCAAATGTATCTTTTTAATCTTCCCGTTAATAGTTTTTACACCTGTAAAAAAAACTCTAAAGAGGTAGTAAAACCATAAAAAAGGTTTTAGAAAGTATAAACTATCAAGCATATGCTAGGACTTAATTCCATTTTGCCTATTCAGCTGACTTATTCAGCCACTAATGATGAATAACTGGTGCTGACAAAAGTGGGGATGTCTGAGCATCACACACTTCATTTCCTGCGCTGAGGTGAATTTTATGCATCAATTTGCAACTTTTTCTGCATCAGTTTATCAAAGAAAAGTCTATTTACATAAAAAGGAAAACACAAAAATCAAGCAGCAGGTAACAGCTCACCATACAGTGGAATGATGCTCTCAGGCAGGGATGCTTGCAAATAATTGTTATTGCTTATTTTCTTACTTAATATAGTTTCTGCTGATTCAACACACATACAAGTACGATTTAGTCCTCCCCCCTCTTTTGTGTGTGCCTGGATAAAGAAATCAAAAGGGTTGATTTTTCTAGATATTAGGATATTTGTTTGTCAGCTGTTTGAGAAAGTAATCTACTTATTATTATGTGTACATTACCTATGTTTGTGGCAAATAAATTAATTCACTTTAACTTATCAACCTGGTAAAACAGTGGCTCAAAATGTTCTTGTTTTTTAGGCGTTTCAAGAAAAAAAAACAACCTCATGTTGAACCTGATCACTTTGTTCTTTCTGACGCACCATTGGACAGGAAATGCTATCCCATTGCTGATTAAGGTAGGGGTGTGTGTGTGTGTGTGTGTGTGTGTGTGTGTGTGTGTGTGTGTGTGTGTGTGTGTGTGTGTGTGTGTGTGTGTGTGTGTGTGTGTGTGTGCAGTAGAGATGCCTGCTACCAAAAAAATAACCAGTTGTATGAATGCATACTTCATATTCATATTGTAGTAGTAAAAAGAAGCTGACCCTCTTGATTAATCTCTGACATTTGCTAAATAACTACTCTGCTGTTTACATCTTCATATCCTGAGGGTGGAGACATAGAAAACCCTGTCCGGTGTAATTAAACGTCCCTGTGCCACAGTCCCCTCTCTGCCATCAGATAAGCCTTGAGTGAAGTCACAGGCTCACTCCGAGGGTCAAAAGATGCTTTCACAAAACAATGAGAAACTACTGCTCAAAGGGATAATTCTACTCTACAGGGAGTGCAGAATTATTAGGCAAGTTGTATTTTTGAGGAATAATTTTATTATTGAACAACAACCATGTTCTCAATGAACCCAAAAAACTCATTAATATCAAAGCTGAATGTTTTTGGAAGTAGTTTTTAGTTTGTTTTTAGTTTTAGCTATTTTAGGGGGATATCTGTGTGTGCAGGTGACTATTACTGTGCATAATTATTAGGCAACTTAACAAAAAACAAATATATACCCATTTCAATTATTTATTTTTACCAGTGACACCAATATAACATCTCCACATTCACAAATTTCTGACATTCAAAAACAAAACAAAAACAAATCAGCGACCAATATAGCCACCTTTCTTTGCAAGGACACTCAAAAGCCTGCCATCCATGGATTCTGTCAGTGTTTTGATCTGTTCACCATCAACATTGCGTGCAGCAGCAACCACAGCCTCCCAGAGACTGTTCAGAGAGGTGTACTGTTTTCCCTCCTTGTAAATCTCACATTTGATGATGGACCACAGGTTCTCAATGGGGTTCAGATCAGGTGAACAAGGAGGCCATGTCATTAGTTTTTCTTCTTTTATACCCTTTCTTGCCAGCCACGCTGTGGAGTACTTGGACGCGTGTGATGGAGCATTGTCCTGCATGAAAATCATGTTTTTCTTGAAGGATGCAGACTTCTTCCTGTACCACTGCTTGAAGAAGGTGTCTTCCAGAAACTGGCAGTAGGACTGGGAGTTGAGCTTGACTCCATCCTCAACCCGAAAAGGCCCCACAAGCTCATCTTTGATGATACCAGCCCAAACCAGTACTCCACCTCCACCTTGCTGGCGTCTGAGTCGGACTGGAGCTCTCTGCCCTTTACCAATCCAGCCACGGGCCCATCCATCTGGCCCATCAAGACTCACTCTCATTTCATCAGTCCATAAAACCTTAGAAAAACCAGTCTTGAGATATTTCTTGGCCCAGTCTTGACGTTTCAGCTTGTGTGTCTTGTTCAGTGGTGGTCGTCTTTCAGCCTTTCTTACCTTGGCCATGTCTCTGAGTATTGCACACCTTGTGCTTTTGGGCACTCCAGTGATGTTGCAGCTCTGAAATATGGCCAAACTGGTGGCAAGTGGCATCTTGGCAGCTGCACGCTTGACTTTTCTCAGTTCATGGGCAGTTATTTTGTGCCTTGGTTTTTCCACACGCTTCTTGCGACCCTGTTGACTATTTTGACTGAAACGCTTGATTGTTCGATGATCACGCTTCAGAAGCTTTGCAATTTTGAGACTGCTGCATCCCTCTGCAAGATATCTCACTATTTTTGACTTTTCTGAGCCTGTCAAGTCCTTCTTTTGACCCATTTTGCCAAAGGAAAGGACGTTGCCTAATAATTATGCACGCCTGATATAGGGTGTTGATGTCATTAGACCACACCCCTTCTCATTACAGAGATGCACATCACCTAATATGCTTAATTGGTAGTAGGCTTTCAATCCTATACAGCTTGGAGTAAGACAACATGCATGAAGAGGATGATGTGGACAAAATACTCATTTGCCTAATAATTCTGCACTCCCTGTATACAAGTGCTCCGCCAAAACAGCTTTGCGGAAACTGTCTGCATGACGTGACTTTCAAGCTTTCTTTTAAAATATAACACATAAAATATTTGTAAATTATTTACTCAGTAGACATTATGTTTATTATGTAACAGCACTTTGGGTGTGAAGAAATCATGGTTGACAAATCTAACTTCGTTCTGACATTTTAACGTGTTGTTTATCCAAGAATAAAATAGCAGATTAATTAATGAAAATAGCCCTGAGGTCAAGTACATGTGTTACTTGTACACTAAACTGAACATGATTTAAAAATAAGTACTTCTAAAGCCTAAATATACAGCACCAAAACAAGTACTAAAAAGTACAAATACTGCAGTTGTGGTACTTGTACTTCATTGGCTAGTATACGGTCTGTAACAGCAGCACTAAAGTGACACCGTGTCATACATGAGAGAGATGTCAGACTGGATTACAATCTAGGTCCAGTGCTTCTGTGTAAAACGCCTAGTTAAGCTATGAAGACACCCCCTCCTCCTCTTCCTCACTCACATTCCCCTAGTGTAACGCTGCCAGTGCAGGATATGTTATTATAACAGCACCAGCAATTCTGCGAAAAATTGCACTTTCAGAGTGGGTTTTTAGAGCTCCGGAGCCCATCCAACTAAACAGGAATGCTGTATGCTGAGATGGTTCATTTACTGTAGAAGATCAGTGATGGGAGGCTCAATGAAGCCTAGTATGGCGGGTGTAAAGATGCTTCTGGTTTGTGGGAATGTGCATGATAACAAAAGAGGGGTAAGGAGCATTGCATTGCGAGAATATTTCCACAATATCCACAAACTCAGTGAAATGTTGAAAAGCTGCAGGAATTATGCGGAATTAAGTGTGCAAATAGCAACAAAGGAAAAAGCGTGTGTACGATGCTTTATGAAACAATGCATCCCAGAAAGCAGATGGAGCACCTACCTTGATGTTGTCAGGCGGATACTTGTATCTGTGCATCTTCTCTGCTGGAGCACTACAAACTGTTCACATCATCCGAGGGAGAGAGAAAAAATACTAAAAAATATTTTTTAAACTCTCAATAAGCATTTAGTTTGAAAAATCTGGGGGACAAAAGAAAACACAAAAAGCTAGAAGCTCAGCTCGACTCTGCTCGGGATAACTACACTGTTTTCCCACAGACTGGCTATTATGTCTGCTCTTCATCAGGGAAAAAGCTTCATGTTGTAGCATTACGCTAGTCAAACGTTAACGCAAGCGCTGACGATATTCTACCGCAAACCGGGAAGAAGAGAGATGCTCTGCTCGTGATTTCCCGTCATCCCGCTGTGTTTTGATGATGATGTTAAGAAAGCAGAGAAAGGATGCTCTCAGGATGTGGCAGCAAGCAGGTCCTTTCGCTCCTGCTGCCTACGGAAGCCTGCGCGCTCCGGGTTTTCCTTCGCTTTTTTTTCCTGATACAAGGCGAGCTGATAATTTAGTATCCAGCTTTTGCCAGCTATTATTATTAGTATGCTGCAGTCATGAGCAAAATAATAATTGTAAGATTTTTTTGAACGATACCCAATACAAGGGAAGTTCAAAAAAGTGATAAAGTCTACATTTAAATTTACAGAGAGACAGATACTTAAAGTAAAAATAATAATATATTTCTAAAATCCCTTTAAATTTGTTTTAAACCCATTTTCTACAAGTTCGGTATGACCGTATAAATATTGGTAAATCCAAGCTTTAAATAGAACAAAATAAAGTGTTGTAAAGGCTAGACAATTACAGGCAGGCTAACTCCGCCCCACTTGCGTTTAGCCTAATTGAGACCTTTTACAAGATTATCTTTAACTCTAAACATCCAAAGTTTAATGGGTTGCTTTGTTGTTGTTTGTTTGTTTTTTCTCTCTATTTTTTCACTTTTACTTCTTTTTGACACTTAAATTGTGGTGTTCAAACACTTTAATTGACCACATGATCTATTTAAAATGTTGCTACATACTTGTAATCGTGCTTTATTTTGTTTATTTATTTTTGACTTTGGTGGCATTTTTAGAGCTGAGATGGTTTGGACATGTGCTGGGGAGAGATATTGGATATACTGGACAAAATATGTTGATGATGAAGATGTCAGGAACAGAGGTAGACTACCGAGAAGATTTTCAAAATCAGCTTTGATGGGCACATTTTAGAGGTCAGCAAACTGATTGTAAGTTTAAAACATTACAGTATATTACGCCACGGTTGTAGGGCTTTCATTGTGATGAAATCATTATTCTTCAACTGCGCAAACTGAAAGATGTATATTAATGTTTAGCTGAGACGTTAACAGGACAAAAAAAAAAACTATTTCCTCAAGAAAGTTTTCAGCAGCTGTTTTATCAAGGCAGATGCTGTGGATTTCAGAGCCATCTAGTGGAAACAAGTACAAACTGCAAAGAGTAAAGCGGCCTTTTCATTGGCCTGGGTGACAATATGCTCACATTTAATGAAGACAAACACAGAAAAAGCCATCAGAGATCTCGATTGATTCATTTTATTTTCCTCAAGGACATTTATGAAGGCAGAAACAAAAATCTGATTCTGTTTTTATTATACACAATTTTGAAAAATGAATTATTTTCCAAGTCACCATCACATCAACATAATGTACACACAGTACCACCTACAGTCACTGAAAGCCCGGGGTTTGGTACACAGCCTGGTTCTCCAAAGGCATCTTGGAGTCACATCTGATTATTATCATTTATGAGAGCAAAGACCATCTCACTGCTCCGACACCTTTGTGAGGCCAGACTTCAGTGTTTGAACTCTTGAGTATGTGGAGGGAAAATTTCAAGAAACCAAAACCAAGACAATTCACAAAAAAGCCGTGGTCTGTCAGCTCTGTGGAATGATGATCAAAAACATAAGACACACACACACACACACACACACACACACACACACACACACACACACACACACACACCATTACAGCATTTTCTCATTTTAGGCTAAACTCAATTTTATGTTACTGGTAGCTTAGAAAATAATCATTTACACCACCCAAAAGGCTGCTTTTCAACATCTACCCACAGACAACTGAGATTTAAAACATAAATGAATGAAACTTTAAGGAATGTTGAACATAAATGAGAAGAGTTGACATTTTCACACAAGACAAAACTAACATTCAAAAGAAAAGTTTCAATGAAATGAAGATTTGGCTGCAAAATTTGGATGTTTTATTATTATGAATCAGCAAATATAACAGAGTCAGAGATTTGGACCCTTGTTAAATGACAGTAATACCACAGGAAAAGGTAAAACTGGGTATTAATGGTGGTAAAGATTTTACTTTCCTTTCTAGTAACTGACTAGGACAGCAATAAGCTTCTTCTTTTGTTTTACTTCAAGCAAACACTATATCCAACTACAGGAAAGGATCACGACTCTAATAAAAGTGAAGTCAATTGGGAAGTTCTGGCTGCCGGATACGACCGCAAGACTCAACATTACATTTTTAAAGACTGCAGGAAATCTATATGTGATTTGACCAAATTTGACCTCCCATTGAGCCACCCGACCTTAGTGATCAGGAAGCCTGATAAATACTGTATTATGGCTGCTGTGTGGGTTAGGACCATCAGCCTATCAGCAAAGAACAGATTTAAAAAAAAGGAAACAGATCTGACAGACCAGGCTACAAACACAATGACAAACATCCTCATGCTTCACAGGAAAAAAAGATCACATGTCCTGCGCGCGCGCACACACGCACACACACACACACACACAGTTTTTCAAATACTCCAGTCTAATTTTTAACTACCATTCAACAAGAGCGGTCAGATAAAAATGATGCAAATTAAACAGTTATCGGTGTAAACCTCTCCTTAAATGCAGAGTGAATCTGTCCGTCTAGCCGCTCTTCAGACTGCCCCGTTTACTTCTACTGCTCATCAGGCTAAATCATCACAGAGTTCACTCATTTTTCTTTATTTAAAAAAAAAAAAAAAAAAAAAAAAAAAGGTATGAAATGCAAAATATGCTGTTTTCTTCAACTTTCCTTCTTCCCTTAAGAATTAAGAGCAGGGCATGGGTGTACCAACTCTTGTATGGATGATAGTTAAAAAAAAAAAAAAATACCAGGCAAATAGAGACATTTAAATAATTTACGATGTATTTACACAATAATCGATCTTTTTTGTTTTGTTCCAGCGTCTGTCTTCTCAGCGTTTGAATGCACATTCTAGTCACCCATCTTTACTTTCGACGTCTGAGGAGAAACAAAAAGCAGTTTTTAATAAACATTTACTGTAAAGAGTTATAATTTTTTAAGTCTCTGCAACAACATCTGGGCCTTTGTCCAAACAACTATGTTGTGGAAAGATTGTTATAACAAACCAAAACTAAACTAAAAACTTAGTTTGCAAAAAAAATTGTAAACTGAAATAAATTTTTTTTTTAAAAAAAACGTGAAATTCTATCACATATTTAGAAAAAGATGTTTTAGCCTCGCTTAGATTAAAGCGAGGCTAAAACCGATAAAACTTAATGATAAGATTGTGATGATTGACAGTTTCTGACCTAAAATAATTAATAAGTGAAATTAAAAACTTCAGTTTGTGCTATGTGGCCATTATTCTCCTGTGAGGCAAAAGATGAAGGGTAAAGGCTTGCAAAAAACTGTATTTACCTGCAGAATAGCTACAATGACACCAAACAGGCCGATGGCACTTCCAAAGATTTCCACAATTAGGATCTTCACGAAGAGGCTGGCGTTCTGGGCATCTGCCAAAGCGGCTCCGCTGCCCACGATGCCGACACAGATGCCACAGAAGAGGTTGGAAAAGCCCACAGTCAGACCAGCTCCAAACATGGAGTAACCTAATAGGACAGAAAACAAAATGAGTCACAGTTCAACCTGAGTAACTCACAATGGAGTCGTCTACATCGTCGTCGTTTCACATCACCACATTCATCTGATTGGCCTTCATCTTAGTTTCATCTGTACAACGAATTCTTTTCCCCCAGAACTGTGCAGACTCTTTTAGTTGTTTTCTGACCTTCCTGTTCCTCCACCTTGTTGTAAACTCTCTGTACATTCATAAAGGTATGCCTGGATTGTAGACTGTAACACCAGTAAACATTTATCTTAAACATGGAAATAATTCTGCGATCATTCTTGTGAGACCTTCGTTGAGCTGGTCAGTGCTGTAACTCAGGTGGTAGAGCAGGTCACCTACTAACCAGAAGTTCGATCCCAGTCTGCTCCAGTCTGCATGCCAAAAATCCTTGGGCAAGATACTAACCCTATGTTGCTCTAAGATGCATCCATCAGAGTATGATTGCGTGTGTGAATGTTAGATGGTGTGATTGGGTGAATGAACAAGTTGTGTAAAAGCGCTTAAACTGCTCAGGTAGAGTAGAAAAGCACTATATAAGACCCAGTCCATTTACCAATTTTAAGACTCAACCAGATTGCAGATTTGCCCACTAAAATTTTCCATCTATGACAGGTTTATTTTGGCTTGGGGTTGTTTTCAGCCTAATGATGACACCCTCGCTTGCATAGATTCTCTTTGAACAGAATATTGAGATCTCCAGTAAACAGCAACCAAATACAAAGTCAACAATTGAAATCAACTCTGGATCTTTTGTCCTCCTAATCCTTCATGAAATTAAAAGGGCACAGGCCTCACCTGGGCACTGACTGCTTGTCAGTCCAGTTAATTTTGAGCCTCTGAAAATGGGGGCCTATGTATAAACAGGGCTGAAATTCTATTATTGTTATTATTATTATTTATTTTTAAAACCCTAGAATTAAAGGTGAGATTTTCCTATTTCAGTCAGGAGTCTCTTTTCTTACCAGCTTGGTAGTTTCGTGCCCCAATAGTCTCAGGAGTCGTTCCACTGAAGTTCTGTAAGACGAAATAAATCATTTCAGAATCCTTATTCCGGGCTCTACAATGACATTTCACTTGTTTTTGTCTCTTACAACTGCAGCTTAATTTCAAGGTGTCGCTGTCCTCTGTGCAGGCTTCCTTGCATCATTTATGAATTTTTAAAAAAAAGGCTTCCTCAATCATCAAAAATGTGTTCCTTACCTCGGCCATATTGCTGATGACAATAGCCATGATGATTCCATAGATTGCAACAGCTTCACAGAAGATAATGCTGGGGGGAGAAACAGAATAAGCAAGGGTCACCGTCTCTGCAAAACACTGCTTTGGACCTGCAGCAATAAACTGATGTTACTGGTGCTAGATGGAACCATAATTCACTGAATGCCCTTCTTAGCAACGTACAGCTGTTGACGGGAACAAAACAGACAAGTGCTCTCTTTGACGGGGCTTACCTGACCAAATTTTTGGTTTTGATTCGTGGAGCCTTGACGCCACCACCAATAATGCTAGAGCCAGTGACGTAGATCCCCCTAGGAAAACAAGCGGAAAGAAAAACAACATCACTTACAAAAACATTTTAATGTTACAGAAAAGTCAACAGTTGGTATAAATGGAAACAGGAGAAGCATAAAAACACAGCATGAGTTAAATGACTACCATTATTGAGCTTCACTCTAAAACGACCCATTTACACGTAGTATAAATACACATCTTCTGTGATCCAAACGGTTTTCAATGCACTCGAGACTTGTAATGATGCAAAAACAAGGTAAAAAGGATCCGTTTCAACACACAGTGGCAGCACATTTTTCATCTAATGCACTTAATGGGATAAAATACTAAACAATAAAAAGGAGCTCAAGGTAGGCAATTAAATGAAAATAAATCTTCTGAACACTGATCCAAAATAAGCAGCCAGCCCAGAGACTTGTAGGTAATATGTGTGAAAACAAATAAGACGATGTATTTCTCATTAATTCCAAATGACAGGAATGTGTAGGACAATCATGCAGAAGAGATAAGTTATTCAGTGTGTAAATCAAAATTATTAAGCAAACACAGGAATCATTTTGTAATCCAGGAACCTGTGGATCGGCAGGTGGCGGTTTTTCCCCACAGACCACTGGCTGTAGCTGGCCTTTACCTGCAGCTGTTCAGCCAAATCTGCTTTAAAGGAATTCGGTTAGAGTTCTCAGAAGATCTGTGGTTCGATTCCCGAGTCTTCTAGTCTACATTTTGAATTCTTCTTTAAGATAACGAACCGCAAACTGCCCCGAAAAAACGGATCAATGTTAGTGTGTGAAATATATAGGTGTGCAAAGTCCATAAAATAAAGTGCTGTGTAAGTAGGTGAATGTGGTATTTTATGTGTAATTTCTGCAATTTATTATTTCACAATCGAAAACTCTGAATACAAAACAAGAAACTTGTCCAAACATCTATTTTTCACTTCACACAGTTTCAGATTTTACAGTTCTACATTTACACCTGTTGTTTTAAAAAGTAAGGTCAAAGGTTTTAGGGAACAGCACTTTTTTTTTTTTTTACTCCTCTTATGTTGAAACAAGACAACTGACAGAGTTTGGCATTTTGTGTAAAATTATGCTCATGTTTTGTAATCAAACATAGCCAGCCATGGATACTAGTATGCACTTAAAGAAGTCTTACTTACCAGGCAGCTCCCACCACAGACAACGAGATGGCCAAACCAATGCCCAGATTGGCCCACATGAAAGGAGAAGTCTCTGTCAGGAACCTGCGAGTAAAGAAGTAAAGCTCACTCAGCCTCAATTTTATAACAACATCATTGTTTGCAATACCTTTTAAAAACACGATGTACACTCTGTTTTAAACTCTAACCTTTTTCTCAACAGTCTGTTAAAATAAATACCTGTAGTGGATAAATCCAAGCTATGCCCTCTTCAAGTAGTAGATGGAAACCACTTCATGCGTTTCTTTCACATCCCAAATTTATTTGGGGAAAGTACAGACAGACCTCAAAAATGTCTCCAGTGACACATTCACTGTTACTTTCACTTTCAACATATACAAATTATCTTGGAAAATGTCTGATCAGCCAAGTGAAACGGATTGGTGCCTCACTATCACTCTGCAAAAAGGGAAAAGGCGGGCCCTGAATCTGTCAAAGAGGAAACAGGCAACGTAGACTCGCTTATGTTGTAAGGCATGTCTCTGTACATTTACAATTGTGCAATGTGGGAAAGGCAGTGCTGTTTTATAACTTTTATTACCCAGAATGTCAATATAATATTTTTCCTGGTAGAACCACTTATAAAATATAACTAAAACAACAGACTAGATGTCAAACAAGGTCAAAAATCATCACTTTCTTAATTCTTTCAGTTGCCCAATTTAGGTGGATCACCTGCCTCTATTTCACCCTATCCCTAGGACCCTCATCTGTCACACCAGCCCTCTGCATGTCTCCATCCATGAAATCTTCGTCTTTTCCTCCTGCCTGGCAGCTACATAGTCAACATCCTTTGTGCAATATATCCCCCCATTTGCCCCTTTTTCAAACCATCTCAGCCTTGCCTCTCTAACTTCATCTCCAAACTGCTTGACCTGAGCTGGTCCTCTCATTTCTAATCATGCCCATTCTGGTCACTCCCAATGAAAATCTTAACATCTTCTACTCTGCCACCTGTCTTTTTTCTTTTTTTTTTTTTTTAAGTGAAAACCATCTTGAAACCATACACCATTGAAAGTCTTACTACCATCTTGTAAATCTTCCCTTTCATTCGTGCTGCTATCCTTCTGTCACAAATCACCTCTGACACTCCTGCCCTCCTCCTTTCTGCATTCTCTTCTTCACCTCTCTTGTGTACACTCCATTGGCTTTGTATGGTTGACCCCAGGTATTTAAACTCATTGACCTTTGTTACCTCTTCAGCGTTACACCCATCTCCCTCTCATTCACTCACACTCACATGTATTCTGTCTTGCTTCCACTCAACTTCATTCCTCTTCTCTCCAGAGCATACCCCCACCTACTCTCACTACACATCACAATGTCATATGCAAACATCATAGTCGGCAGAGACTCTTGTCTGATCTCATCTGTCACTGCGACAAGGAGGAGCTCAGAGCGGATCCCTGATCCCACCTTAGCCATCTGTCACTCCTAGCAGACACACCTCACCACTGTCTAGCTGTCCTAAAACATGTTCTACACCACCCTGACTTCTTCACGCAGTACACAGTTCCTCTCTTGGCATCCCATCATATGCTTTCTCGAGATCCACAGTGAACCTCACTCTGACCTTCTCTATAATTCTCCATCAACAGTCACAAAGCAAACATCTGTACAGCTCTTCCTCAGCATTAAGTCATAGTGCTACTAACTGATCATCACGTCTCTTCTTAACCTACCTTCAACAACTCTTTCCTATAGAAAAATGGTGTGGCACGTTAACTTTATCCCTCGGATACTAATGATTTTAGAGTATATATGAATCTTTACCTCCAGACAGCAGCTGTGTACAAAGAATACTTACCATGCCACATCAAAGCGGAATCCCAGGTCAAATATAGTGTAGCAGATCCCTGTGGAAACAGTGACGGTCATTTTTAGGCATATGTGGGAAAAACACGGTAACACTTTAAAGATGAGCCATTTAGTCGACCCGTGTGTATTTCTGCATGAGTAATCTTGTGTTTTGCAGGTTGCGTGAAACACAGTCACACTTCTGTTCTAAAAGAAGCTGCAGCTTCGGTGTGACCACTCACACTCACGTGAAAACCACTGTAGTTCCTACCCAGCACAGTCAGCTGGACACACAAACACCTAGACAGCTAACCTTAGCACGGCGCAAACAGACGACTTCAAACTAAAATAAGAAAAGCGATCCAAGCATGGTAAAATATTTCCAAATCATACAAGGTGTGACACTAATAAAAATAAAATACAATCACTAACATCCAACGTTAAAACCTCTGAAAATTTCTGTTATGAGAGTACGCTGTAAGCTAACTACCCTTAGCTAACAGCATGCTAGCCAGATGCTAACTTAAACCGTGTTGTTTATATAATATGAGCACACAGCGATTTTTAAAAATACATTCAACAACGAATTGGGTTTTCATGTATCCCTCTTATCATGCATTAGTAAACCATTTTTTCCATATGCTAACTAACCTATCGACTATCCCAGTATTTAGACGGGTCCTGAAGTACAGCTGTCAAACATACCAAAAAAAAAAATCACAATGTCACGAAGAGACAACGATTAAATACACGACCATTACTGCAAATTACATGAAATATATATTTTCATTCATTCATTTAGCTATTATTAGGCATTTTCCTGTAAAATAAAACCTTACCAACGATTAGTATGGTGCTCCAGAAGGCCAAAGTGACCCCCGTGTAAAGAATGGCGTGTCCGTTCATCATCCACTCTAGTAGCATCTACCCACCGGGTTAACCTGCTGGATCAGCAAGATCTACTTGGCCCAAATTTCAAATCTGATGCCAGTACAGCCCAGGTAGCGATATAATGCAGTTTTACGAAGCGCTATCAGTCGATGGAGGAGGAAGAGAATCAAAAAGAGAAGCTGGGTGATGTCAGCTGATCCGGCTCGACTAGCATGTGACCCAGGAAGGAAGGGAGGGAGGGCTGCGTTCGCTTACGTTTTTACTTTACCCACTGTCGCTTTAAAACAAGCGTTTAAAGCACTCTTTGTGTTGAATTTACTCGGTAATTATTCCACCGTAACTTACACAAATATAGAGTTAAATAAAACAAAACGACACCCAACCAAGGCAAAAGAGGTTTAAATATCCTCGAAGATAGTATCCGAAACCGGAGTGTTGACTGCAGCGCGCACAGTGGCCGAAAGATGTCACTGTTGAAATATATATGGCGCAAAGGCAAAAATGAGTGCAGTGTACACGATTTATAAAGGAAAAACCCAATCAATACTAAGTCTATTTGACTGTTCATTTTTATCCTATAATTAAATATAGTTAACTTGATAGGACATGTGCAAGACAATAACTTCATCCTTAGACCACGAGGGACACTATTATTTTTCAATAAGTGCAAAAATGCTGTGATGGAAATGTTATGGTCTTTGTAATAACCTGATATCATCTGAATAATTATGGGAGATTTGGGACCAACATGTTGAGCAGTTGTGTTTTGGATAAATGTTACATATTTTTCCTCTTGCAGTACTTAAGATATCAAATCAAGGCCAGGGGGCAGGGAAGCTGTTCCCATGACACATGGTAGGGAAACACAACAGTAAGACACTTCATGTTGGCTTTTTTCTTTAATTCATTACCTGTTTGAAACTTTGTTTGTTTGCTAAGCCACTTAACACCAACCTGTAAATAATTCAGGCATCGAAATGACACTTAACTCCAACCGGTGTTTCATTCACACATGATACTTAGCAAAGAACAGATTTAACAGTTGCATATTCACACACTTTGCTACTAGCAGCCTGTTGCAAAAGTACAACATTTCTTAGGTTGAATCTACAAAAAATGCCAAATATAACACAGTTTTATATTCATTGGCACTGACAAGGTGATTCCCAAAGATCTATTGGCTGAAAACTTGGTACATATTGGCATGGCAAAAAAACTGAGGAAGCTAAACAATTGGGGGACAAAAGAAGATATTTCAGACTTGGATGTAATTATAAATGCAGAAAGGAACCATCACATCCACTATGTAGCAACATCTCAAAAAATAAAATTGTCAATACTTTCAGTGTTCAGAAATGCAGTGATCCTAAACATACTGCAAATGCAGTAAAAACATACCTCGATTGAAAACCACACAATGAAACACTATTAGTCATGGACTGGCCTCCCCAGAGGGGAGAGATGCTTGATCCATGTCTCAAGTCAGTATTTGGTATGACCATGGCCATACCAAATACTGACTTTCAAACGTATTAGAATTGTATACAGTATTGTGCATATGTATATAAAATAAAACACATTTCTATTTGCAAGCACTATCTGCCTTGTTGCAAGTGTTCTGTCACAGATTACTAATTCTTACATTATTTGAAAGCTAGACACTGTGCTTTGACGCTCTCGGTGTACTCTCAGTATACTCCAGATTTCTGTTGAGGTATGTCTGCTCATCCTTTTAGAACTGTATAAAAGATTTCCTGTGTGTTTCAGCTGAAATACAATAGTATACAAGAACGTATGAAGCACTCTATCACCAAAGCCTTAAATGAAAGTTTTGAAGTTTTGAAGTTAATCCTAGTAATCCTTTTTTTGTTTGTTTTTTCAACTACTGTGAAATTTAGAAGAAAAACAATAACCTTGCATCAAATGAAAATGCCATGACACTGCGTTACTCATTATCTATAAAAGCTATTTTTCTTGAACTGTTTCTTTCATTTTCACTGATCTGTATACTTTTTTTTTTGCTGAGCTATACATCTTCAAAAAACTTTCAAAATGCAATACTGAAGCACTGTTATATCTCTATGTGGAGTTTTTGAATTAATGTTGAACTTCTTTTTAGTGATGAGCCACCAGTTCTTTATCTGTTATTCTTCTTATAGACTCATCTTCATTAAAATGCAGATGAATGAACTGCACATCAAGTATGTTTTTATGGCAAAATCCACCAAAGCAGGCCTACAGCTAGGATTTGGGAAGCTACACCATTGATAACAAAATGACATTTGCATGTGTGATAACATAACGTGTGTCATGTCAAACATGTCTCTCAGCAACATGAAAAGAAGCAAAAAAAAAAAAATCCCCCATAAACCAGTTTTCCATGTGACTGACAGCTCAGAGCCAAAAGCAATTCAGAAGTCTGATTCTCCCTTTTCATTAATTTCAAGTTGAACAGCGACATGGGGCAGTACCCTCCATGGAGAAGGAGGCTAGAGGGCAAGATCAAAGTAGCACGGAGGGAGGTTAGCCAACTAACGGAGTTGCAGCAAGGTGCGACAAAGAAGGTGCATAAGAAATACAGCAAGCTGTCCATACCTCAGGCCTTGGAAACTGCCAAGCAAAGACTTACAGCCTTGGCCAGCCGCTTGAGGAGGTACACCAGAGAGATAGAAGGCAGGAGAATAAACCAGCTGTTCTCCACAGAACCAGCAAAGGTGTACTCTCAGTGGCAAGGGAACAATAAGAGAACAGCACCACCAAGGCTGGAGACGGAGCAATACTGGAAGAGCATATGGGAGAAGGATGCAACCCATAACGGCAATGCTCAGTGGCTAGAGGATCTGAGGGCAGACCACAGCGACCTCCCTGAACAGGGTCCAGTAACCATCACAGTGGCAGATATCCAAGAAAGGGTCTCCAGTATGAAGAGTTGGACAGCACCAGGGCCCGACATGGTTCACGCCTACTGGCTGAAGAAGCTGACTGCACTCCACGAGCGTCTGGCAGCACAAATGAACCAGCTGCTAGTTAACGAGAGATACCCGGAATGGCTAACCGAAGGTCGGACGGTCCTGATCCCCAAGGACCCCAAGAAGGGACCGGTCCCCTCCAACTACCGACCAATAACCCGCCTCAGCACTACATGGAAGCTCCTGTCAGGCATCATATCGGCTAAGATGAACAGGCACATGGGTCAACACATGAGCGGGACACAGAAAGGAATTGGCAAGAATACCAGAGGCGCAAAACACCAGCTACTGGTAGACAGAACAATCAGCCGAGACTGCAAGACCAGACTGACAAACCTGTGCACTGCCTGGATTGATTACAAGAAGGCCTATGACTCAATGCCCCACAGCTGGATACTGGAATGCCTAGAATTGTACAAGATCAATGGGACCCTAAGAGCCTTCATCAGGAACTCAATGGGGATGTGGCGTACAACACTAGAGGCCAACTCCAAGCCCATAGCACAAGTTACCATCAAGTGCGGGATCTACCAAGGAGATGCTCTGTCCCCACTGCTGTTCTGCATAGGCCTGAACCCCCTCAGTGAGATCATTAACAAGACTGGCTACGGATACCGACTACGGAACGGAGCAGTTGTCAGCCACCTCCTGTACATGGATGACATCAAGCTGTATGCCAAGAGTGAACGAGACATCGATTCACTGATCCACACTACCAGGCTATACAGCAATGACATTGGAATGTCGTTCGGACTGGAGAAGTGTAGTCGGATGGTAACAAAGAGAGGGAAGGTAGTCAGAACTGAGGGGATTGAACTACCAGAAGGCAACATTGCAGACATAGAGGACAGTTACAAGTACCTGGGGATCCCGCAGGCAAATGGGAACCATGAAGAGGCCGCTAGAAAGGCTGCAACCACCAAGTACCTGCAGAGGGTCAGGCAAGTCCTGAGGAGTCAGCTGAATGGTAAGAACAAGATCCGGGCCATCAACACGTACGCCCTGCCTGTGATCAGGTACCCTGCTGGGGTAATAGGCTGGCCAAAGGAGGAGATAGAAGCCACTGACATAAAGACAAGAAAGCTCCTTACCATGCATGGAGGGTTTCACCCCAAGTCCAGCACCCTGAGGCTGTACGCTAAGCGGAAGGAAGGGGGCCGGGGACTGGTGAGTGTCAGCACCACAGTCCAGGATGAGACAAGGAACATCCAAGAATACATTGGGAAGATGGCCCCAACTGACCGAGTGCTCAGTGAATACCTCAGGCAGCAGAAACCCAAGAAAGAGGAGGGAGACGAGGAACCATCATGGAAGGACAGGCCCCTGCACGGTATGTACCACCGGCAGATAGAGGAGGTGGCTGATATCCAGAAATCCTACCAGTGGCTGGACAAAGCTGGACTGAAAGACAGCACAGAGGCACTAATCATGGCAGCACAAGAACAAGCTCTGAGTACAAGATCCATAGAGGCTGGGGTCTATCACACCAGGCAAGACCCAGGTGCAGGCTGTGTAAAGATGCCCCAGAGACAATCCAGCACATAACAGCAGGGTGCAAGATGCTAGCAGGCAAGGCATACATGGAACGCCATAACCAAGTGGCCGGCATAGTGTACAGGAACATCTGTGCCGAGTATAACCTGGAAGTCCCGAGGTCAAAATGGGAGATGCCCCCAAGGGTGGTGGAGAATGACCGAGCTAAGATCCTGTGGGACTTCCAGATACAGACGGACAAAATGGTGGTGGCTAACCAACCGGACATAGTGGTGGTAGACAAACAGAAGCAGACGGCCATAGTGATCGATGTAGCGGTTCCGAATGACAGCAATATCAGGAAGAAGGAACACGAGAAGCTGGAGAAATACCAAGGGCTCAGAGAAGAGCTCGAGAGGATGTGGAGGGTGAAGGTAACGGTGGTCCCCGTGGTAATCAGAGCACTAGGTGCGGTGACTCCCAAGCTAGGCGAGTGGCTCCAGCAGATCCCGGGAATAACATCGGAGATCTCTGTCCAGAAGAGCGCAGTCCTGGGAACAGCTAAGATACTGCGCAGGACCCTCAAGCTCCCAGGCCTCTGGTAGAGGACCCGAGCTTGAAGGATAAACCGCCCGCAGGGGCGTGCTGGGTGTTTTTTACATATATATAAAAAAATATATATATATATATATATCTCTATATATATATATATATATCTATATCTATATATATATATATATATATATATATATATATATATATATATATATCTGGTGTACCTCCTCAAGCGGCTGGCCAAGGCTGTGAGTCTTTGCTTGGCAGTTTCCAAGGCCTCAGGTATGGACAGCTTGCTGTATTTCTTAGGCACCTTATTCGTCGCACCTTTCTGCAACTCCGTTAGTTGGCCAACCTCTCTCCGTGCTACTTTGATCTTGCCCTCTAGCCTCCTTCTCCATGGAGGGTACTGCCCCTTGTGG